ACCCAGAGTCAGGAAAAGCCGTCAGGCCACTGCCTGGAAGAGCGTGTGGAGACCAGCCCCCTCTAGCTCCTTAATCAGGGATGCTGCATCCGTTCTGAGGTCAAGGATCCGTGTCCCCAGCATCTCTGGGGTCCTGATCTTATGAACTGGGACGCAACATGGTGCCCCAGATTTCCGAGTTGGGAATTCCATGCATGACCCAGAGGTGACCCTGAGCCCCGCCGACACTGACCCCGGGCCTCGCATCTCACCTGACAGTACCCAGCCTGTGGTCGACGGGTTCCAACGTGATCTGAGGCTGCCAGAGTTGTCGGTGTCCCTTCCGGGGAAGCAGTGGGTCCCCCTCCACCCGGGAAAGGGTGTGCACCGTGTTCTCGAACGCCCAACAGGGGACACAGGGCGAATGCACGTAGGGTCCCGGGGTGCCAGTGTCAGTCTGTACCTGGTGGCACCCCTGGGGCCGGAGTCCACACCTGCCCAGCAGAGCCGGGGTGCCACAGAGGTGGCTCAGGGCGGGGGGAGGGGGCTGCAGTGAGTGGTCTCCTGGAGGTCAGGCCGCTGGTTCTCCAGGTTGAGACCCAACAGGCCTGGCCTCTGCTCTCCCCTTCCCCCCCGTCTTGCCCTTCTAAGAGGAAAATCACAGGGACGCAAACCTCGGTAGGGAGGACGAAGAGCGTTTTTAATTAAAAGTTTAAGAGAATTCACGTCCCGAGGGAGCCTGAGAAAGAAAAGGCAGGGCTGATAGAGTGGGGTGGGGGGCGGGAGGGGGGGAGTGTGAGAAAGTAGGCCACGCCACAGAGGATTTCAAGCTGGGTCCTTCCCATGGCCTGGCTGGGCGTGTCAGACCGGCAGGCTGAGCCTCGGTTTATCCCGATTCTCCATCTATGGAATGGCGGGGGGAGCGCACACGCAGTGGAGGCTGGACCAGGATGGCACCTCAATTCCCAACCAAAACCACTCAATGCTAGTGGCATGCCTATAATCCCGGCACTTGGAAGGCTGAGATCACCTAGCCCCGAAGTCTGTTGGTGCGAAGTGGGAAGTAACTGGTCACCCGGACGACGTGGCCCATGCAGGTGAGTTGCGGAGGGGGCCCTTGCTGAAGCCCCCAGAGGGGAGTCTGGCAGGAGGAGTCCTGCAGCTCGAGGCTGGCCCCAGGGCGAAGCTGAGGAAATCAGGGCCAGCTCCAGCCATGTGAGGGCAGACTCGTTCCCCTTGTACAGAAAGGTAAACCGAGGCCCAGAGGATGTAAGTCCGCTCACACGCCAAGTAGGGGCTGCAGTACAGGGTAGGTGGCTCAAGCGGTAGAGCACTGACCTTGAGCAGAAGAGCTCAGGAACAGCGCCTTGGCCCAGAGTTCAAGCCCCAAGACCCACCAAAAAATTTCTAAAAAGATACGGTCTCTAGGCAAGATCTCCAGCCAAACCTCAAAGAGTCCCACGGACGACTCGGCCTGCTTCCCAGGACAGGTGCCGTGGCTCCCTCCTCGGTCATCTCAGCTTCTCCCGAGACTGAGATCGGGAGGACGGTAGTTCAATGTCAGCCCAGGCCAGAAAACAAACTGGCAAAACAAACCTCACCTCACACACGCCAACGATCACAGACATGTAATTCTCTCCACCACCCGCCTTGCACTTGGCCATCCGCTCTGCCTACGGCCTCCTTTCTCACACACTTGCCCTTGCCTGGGTCCCCTAGGGCCCAGGAGCGATATGGGTCACATCAATGTCACCTTGAGTGGACTGCATGCCTGTGGGCCTATTCACGCTGTCCTCATCCTTGAGAACCTAGCACAGAGCCTGCACAGTGCTCAGCGCTGACTAGACAGAGGCGGAAGCCAGGGCACCCGAGGTATCTGGTGTCCCGTGATGTGACAAACCGGCCATCCAGCCTCCTCCCGGGCCACCTCTGCCTGGCTCATGGGGTTGGCTGGTACTTTCAGTGTGGACTTGTGGAAGACAGGGGAGCCCGTGGTTCTGGAGCCCGTGATTCTCTCTCCACCCTCATGCTGTCATGTGACATCACCTTCTACTACCCGTGCTTCCTCCTGTGACGCCCGTGGCCACTGGGGACACATTGCTTTCGAGGTTCCTCCTGCCCTCTGAGGCTCAGCTCAATGACTGCTTCCTCCAGGCAGTGCTCCCAGATTGAACTTGACAAAGGTGGTACAGGGCCCTGCACCCTGTAACCGGCACCCCACGGCTTCCTGTCTGCTTCCTCAAAGTCTGAGGCCGGGACTGGCTCGGACAGCAACCCTCCCCACCGACTCGCACACGAAGATTTCAGAACAGAGGGCCAGATATTATTAAAACTCAATTAGATCTTTTTCTTCTCGGATGCTAAATTAGTCTAGCTCGTCCCTGTGGTACCTGCAGGCCCTTGCTCGCTGCCTCCTGACATCTGCCCTCCTTACCGGCCAGGACCTCCAAAGGGCACAGGTTGGGTGGGGAAGAGGGTCTCTCTTAGTACAAGCCTGCTCCTGGGAGTGGGAGTCTAGTATCCCCTTAGACCCAGGGACCATGTTCTCCTACAGCTGCCAAGATGCTTCCGGTCCTGACACGTACCTGACTTTCAGCCACATGGTAGAACTCAGCAGCAGGGTGTGTACCTACCAACTCTGAGGTCCTTGGGATGCCACACCCTAGCCCCACTAGATCCTTCCTGTAGCTCAAAGATGCTGAGGGATGGTAGCATTACACTTTCTCTATCTCAGGAGAAGAGGGAAGGAGAGTGGAGTACTGGTGTCTCATGCCCGTGATCCTAACTACTCAGAGGCTGAGATCTAAGGATCTCGGTTTGAAGCCAGCCTGGAGAGCAAAGCCTGTGAGACTCTTCTCTCCAGTGAACCACGTTACAGCCGGAAGTGGTGTGGCAGAGCGCTGGCTTTGAGCGAGAAAGCTCAGGGACAGTGCCCAGGCCCTGAATTCAAGCCCTAAGACCTAGATCTCAGGGAAGAGAGAGAGAGAGAGAGAGAGAAACATGCTTCCCAGCAGAACCCTCGGCTCTGCCCCAGCCTTGCCTGCGTTGGCCCCTCACACACCTCCCGGCGACCTCAGGATTCTTGGCCACCTGACAAGATGGTCCTCAAACGTATACTGCAGCCTATCTTTGCCCAGGGGCGAAAGCTGACCGACCCCAAAGGTTCACAGATGGACGACACAGTAGAGGTTAACCTTCTCTTCTTTACACTTTTAGCCCATCTCCTCCAGGGGGCTCCCTTGAGCTCTGTTTCTAAATAGCGGCTCTCTACCACCTCATGCTCTCTGAGCTCTCCCCCTCCATGCTCCATCCTCCCCCCCACCATCCACACGACAGGTGCTCGAAAAGATGCCCGTTCACTAATCCGACGCTCCCCCGTCCCCATGGGCCCCCGGCTGGCTCCTCTGGGTGGCACCTTGCCAGGAAGCGGCGACGCTGTCTGGGTGAGGGGAGAATAATCAGCTGTAAACGCCGCAATCACGGAGAAAAGGCTGCTTGGGCCCTCGGCGCCCACGCGCGCTCCTAATCGGCTCCGCGTGTCTCCTTTCGAGAGCGGGAAAGTGGAAGGGTCGAGATCTGTTAATGTTCGTAATGGAAGGGAGGCAGAAGCCGTCGGCGGTCCCACATAAACACCTGTTAATTGCATGGAGACGGTGGGGGGAGGCGGCGGAGTGCTACAGGATCCCCTGCCGGTTGGCCCGCCGTGATGGTTCTTTTTAGGGCTTCCAAAGACTGGAGTCATGCCTGGATTTTTTTTTGGGGGGGGGGGTCAGTTCCAGGAGGGCCCAGAGCCCAGGCTTCGGCTCTACAGATGTCTGTGAGTAGGCTTCCATTGGGGCCAGATCTAGACAATATATGATCCGTGGCCCGGTTCCCTGGGCCAACCCCCATCCAAGAATGCACCAGGGAGCCCAGGTGAACGGGTCTCTGGCTGCCTCGGTGCCCGACTTTTCCCCTTCACTGTCTCCTCCAGGAAGCCTTCCCTATCGCCCCCTCGGATCTTTTTCCTGCCAGAGGCCGCCCCATTCCCTCCGCACCTTCCCAACGTGGGCCACGTCCCCCAGCTCGCGGGACTTCTATTGACCGCGGTCGCATTCTCCCGTGGCTCTCAACTGGGACGATGCTGCCCCCAGGGAACAGTACTTAGAGACACTTGATCAGAGCGACATGCTCCTGGGTGCAGGGCAAGAATTGTGCCAACACCGATGGTGCACGAGCAGGCCCTAGAGGAAGGAGTCCATGGAAAGGTCCCAGGAATAGAGGCCGCTTGTGACAAAGCTTCAGAAAAGAAACACTAAGTGGGAACTGGACTGAATGTTTCCCCCGGGGAGCTTAAAGGGAGAAAGCTATCCATGACCCCCACAACCAGCCCGTCCTCCACGCACATCCAGCCTGAGGCCACATTCTCGAGCGCACACGACTGCGCTGCAAACGACGCATTGGTTTAATCAGGTCAGGTGGCCATTAGCAGCAGAGGCGGAGAGATGTGTGTACAAGGACTTTTAATTTTACCCTTTAAATGACGCTCGCTCCCCAGAGGCCTCCGATGGTAGGAGCGAGACCCACCAAAGTCCCCAGAACCCAGGCCAGTGCGTACCTCCCGTGCTCCATCCTCGGGAGCCTGCTGGAAGGAGTGGGAAAGAAACTGAGGGGATGGGGGCTTGCCCAAGGTCGGCACCCCACCCCACGTGAGGTCCTGGTCTGAGAGGCCCAGCTCTGTCCTTGGCTCTGATCCCCTATGGCTGGCAAGTGCTTCAAGTCCACTCAGAGGCTGTTTGTAGGGCCACAAATAATCTCAAGTAAAAATACATATACAGGGCTGGGCATGGGGCTCATGGTAGAGGATGGGCTCCGCAGGGATAGACGGGTCCACCCGGTCCCTTGACTGCAAGAAGCCCCTTTGTGTGCTTAACTCCAACTAAAACCGACTCGTTCCCATCACGGTTCCCCACGATCTCCACAGACTGGGGCCCGCCGAGACCAGCCCTACTGAGATGCAGAAAGCCCAAGCGGCAGCCTACCTTCAGCGCCTGCACCTTTCTGTCCAGCAGGGTCTCGATATCACCGGCCACCTTCTCCACCAACTTCTGAGGCTCGTTCTCTTGTACCTCAAACAGGTTCCGGTTCTCTTTGTAGATCTGGAAGGAAACAGAGCCAGGATGAGGCTGGAATGGCTCCCAGAGTCCCGTACCACGGGCCCACACGTTCCCTCTTCATAGCTCAGCCCCTCACCCCTCCAGGGCCCTCGCTGTGGCCCCTAGGAAAGTACATAATCTTATGGTCTGGGGGAGAGGAGGGCTGGGACTCTCTAGCTTGCGTTTGGGACGCAAGCCCAGTGGCTGTGGGTGATGGATCCAAATCACTGCCTTTTCTGGGGTCTCGGGGTCCCACATGTAGAGGCCGTAAGCCACATCTACCGACTAGCTCGGAGTGATCTGGAGCGGCAGAAAGGGAAGGATGAGAGGAAGGGGGTGGGGTGCAAGAGAGATCGAGCTGATGGGCACACACCACATAGCCACATCTTTGCAAGAAGATGTCCCCCCCTCCACACACACACGGGCATCTCGAGTGCACGCACGCAGCCACCCCACACATGGCCTCAGGAATCTGTGATCTTTTTTTATTTTTTTGCTGGTGCTGCCCATTTGCCAAAAACAAACAAACAAAAAAACAGCAGGAACTGTGGGTATCCCTTGGGGCTTCTCTCCTTCAAGGTACGGAATGTGGGAGTAGGTAGCAGGGAAGAATAGGTAGAGGGGGGAATGTATGTGCCCATTCTTCCTCTCCAGTGGGAGGCTCTGAATAGAAGTACACGTGGCTATAAATCAAACGTATATGTGTGTGCGCGCGCACCTGTGTGTGTGTGTGTAAGCATGCGTGTGTGGTGCTTGTATGTCAGTAGAGAAGATTTCTGCAGGCCCCTTTGTTTGTAGCTGGGATACGTACACATGCACGTGTCACACACCCTCATGTAAGGCTCCAAGCCTGACTGGGTGCCCGTATCCACTCCAGCAACCCCAGGAAGTCTGTGCCCTAAGCCGGCTCCTCTGGCACCAGAGATCACGGGCGTGGCTGGCACAACGAAGCCAGGCCATCTGGCTGTGCAGAAAGTGGAGAGAGACAGGCAGGCGGGGAGATAAGGTCTAGAGGCTGACAGAAGACAGCAGGGAGATAAGGACGCTCTCATCTGACAGGCCGGGTGCTCAGCCAGCGCCCGGCAGTTCAAGGGTTAAAGCGACGCACGAAGCTGGCTCAGGCGATCTCCTCCTCTCCCCGATCTCCTCCTCTCCCCGCCACCCCCATCCCTCCCGGCTTCTCTTTTCTTTTCTTTTTTGTCCTTCTCTTGGAACAAAATAATTTGTGGTGAAGTCGCTCCTTCCTTCCTGCAGAGCCACAGCGCTGAGGGGGCGAATCGCAGAGCCCGGCCCGAAAGGACAGAGGCCCCAGGTGGGCACCGAGGCAGGCTCTTGCACAGGCCCTGCCTCGGGGACCCTCGGCCGGAGAACAAGAGGGTGAGGAGAGGTCAGAGACCCAGGGTCCTGGGAGATGCGGGGAGCCCGCGTCTTACTGTTGGGGAAACGCAGAAGCAGAAATAAGAGGACGGACTGGTTAAGGTCATCCGACCGAGTGGCAAAAGGCAGGGCACCCGTCTGCCACGACCCATCCTTTCTGGGTTCCTAGACGCTAAAAACACTTCCTTCCTCTGTCTTGAACTGCATGCTGCGCCTGGGTGTAGACACGGTGGCGGGCGTGTGGGCCTTGCTGCCGAAGGTTTTGCGAAGTGGCAAGCCGGCCCCGTTCGTGCCAGCAGGGGGCGCAGCCGCCCGACTTCCTCAGGGCTGGGGATGAAGTTCCCGCAGCTCGGCTTCCCTGTCAAGGTCATTCCTGGAGAATGGGTCTCACCCAGGGAAACCGGGAAACTTCCGCTGGAGAATCCAAATCCAGCACGCTCCTCACAGCCTGCGTGGCCGTGTGGTTAGGGCTTAGGACTCACAGAGAGAGTAGATGATCTTCAGGTGCCAGGGTCCTGTCCTAGGGCCCCAAAGGTGACACAAGGCTTGGAAGTTGCGCCTTTGCCCAAAACTCACCCACCTCCGAGCCTCAAGGTCCAGTGTCTTAAATGAAAAGGACAGGCCTCGTCTCACGGGCCGGATGGGCACGGCCCGATTCACACTGCATTCGCCGCACGCCTTGTGCCATCGCTTAGGACCACCGGGATTCTGTGGGAGCCCTCCCCCCACCTCCCGGCTGCCACTTTCTCCCTGCTAGATCTGCCTGCTGAGGGCTGGCTGAAGCCCCTCCTGAGTGGCCAAATGCCATCTCCTGGAGTCTGCCCACCTCCTGTCTGGCTCCTTCCCCACTCCTAGCCACCCCGTCTTTGTCACATTCCCCCCCTCCCCCCAACCCACCCAGAAGGCTGTCCCTGTTTCTCTAGGCCTCCCCCACCAGTTTCAATTCTCTGGAGAGCAAAGGGCAGGGAAATGAGCCGGAAGGGGTTTCTACCGAGACACGTTAGCAGAACCCCAGCAGGGCGGGGTCGAGCAGCCAGCCTGGTCCGCTCTGGTTCACGAATGAGTTACCGGTGGTCCTCCAATGGCCAGCTAGCTCCCTCCGCCTCATTCTCTCTTCCGCATTACCCTGGGACCTGTTCCAGCTCCCCTGCCTGCCGGATGGGCCCTGAGCAGAGCCCTGAGCCCCAGAGAAGATCCAAATGACAGCCTGGCAGATGCCCCCCCCCCCGCCCCAGAGAAAAGTCATCTTGACTGTGCCGTGGTCCTAGGAGGCGCTTCCTGACCAGAGCCCAGCGAGGAGCCCAGGAGGGCCCGGATGCCACCCGGGGGGAGTGTCCCTCCGGGGCCAGCTTCTAGTCTTCATTCCTGGCACCGGCGGAGAAACGACCGAGGGGCCGGGACACACCAGATGTGAGATCTCAATGATCGCGGCAGGAGCACACGGCCGCCGGCGTCCTCCGCCCAGACAGCGAATGGGAAAAACCCACAGCTCCCACAACCCTGCGCTCCGGGGGGCCCCTGCCTCCGCCCAGGCGGCCAGATGGAGGAGAGCGATGGGGCCGGGCCAGCAGGTCCACGTGCAACCACGATGGCGAGGAAGAGGCGGGGGCCGCATCCCTTAGAGGATGGTGGTGTGGGAGCGGGACGCAGCTAGCAGTGAAGTGAGGAGGTCAGGGCAGAGGAGGCGGAGGAATACAGAGGACAGGGGAGCTGAGGCCGTGAGGGACAATGTAGGGAGTCATCTGGAGCCTCATTCCCAGGAACCCCTGGCTCATAACTCCTGTAGCCCCCCCATCTACATCCCTGTGGCTGATACTGAGTAGAAGCACCCTCCTTTGAAGAAGGCGCCCTAGCCCCTCTCTAGTTATATAGACCTCTCCCTCCCTCCCCCCTGCCCCCCACTATCCCTTGGGCCGCCTCTGCCCCTTTCTGAGTTCTTGCAGTTCCTCTGCAGGCCTGTGTGCAAGCCAGACTACCAGCCTTCCTGGGCATTTTCGTGGCCTGTGGAGGTTGAGGTCTCCTCCAGGCCCATCCTCTGCCCAGTCTCTGGAGAGGACTCCCGGCCCAGCTTCCTACATGATGCCAGGCCACCCCGCTCCTCGGTCGGTGGCCCATTAATAGCGCTATTTTTCCCTGTCCCCCACTACACCTGTCCTTCCGTTCCCACCGGCACTCCAAATTCAGGCCACAGGCTCTCTCCTCGGGGCTCTCAGGAGAAGGGCCTGCTCGAGTCCCTGATCCTTGGGCACTTAGGAACAGATCCAAGGAGCTCTCTTTCCCCTCCTTCACAAGACTCACAGGGGCAGGAAGCCCCCACCGCCGTCCCCCAGCGACGCCTCCCCGTTTTTAAAGTTAAAGTTGAGTTGACTGCCATCCATTACTGCAATTAGTACATTATGTTTAATTACGCAATTAGTGTAAAAAGCGCACTTGCCGCCGAGAATGGGGAATTACGCTGCCTTGTTACGCTGTAAAATCCGTGTCATAAAAAGGTCCCATCTTCTGTTTTTCGAAAGACACACACACACACACACACACACACACACACACACACACCAAACACAAAGCAATACACCAAATCCTCCCAGCAGAGCTGTGGCAAGTCTCAGCCATCTTCCCTGACACTGCTGTAGGAAGACTCAGACTCCTCTCCCCATCAGACCCGTTTTTGGGTGTGGCCGCATCTCTGCTCGCCAGACAGACGCTTTTAACCTACTCTTCTTTTTTGAGACAGGGTCTTGGTACAAAGAAAGCCCAGGCTGACTCTGAATTCCCTATGCTCAGACTTCCATGTGCTATGATCACACACCACCATGCCCACCCTGAACTGACTTTAAAACCCTGGCAATCCTAGCCGGGCGCTTGTAGCTCCCATCTGTCATTCTAGCTGCTCAAGAGATTCGAAGGCAGCACAGGTAGGAAAATCCAGGAGAGGGTTGGGAAAGTGGCTCAGTGGTAGAGTGCTCGCCTCCCATCCATGAGGCCCTGGGTTCGATTCCTCGGTACCACATAAGCAGAAAAAAACCAGAAGTGGTGCTGTGGCTCAAGTGGTAAAGCGCTAGCCTTGAGCTGAAAAGCTGAGGGACAGCGCCCAGGCCCAGAGTTCAGGCCCATGACAAAAAAAGAAAAAGAAAATCCAGGAGACTCTTATCTCCAATGAAGCACCTAAAGCAAGCTGGATCCAGCGGTAGAGTGCCAGCCTGGAGCCAAAAAGCTCACAGACAGTGACCGGGCTCTGAGTTCAAGCCCTGAGACTGGCACCAAAGGAAAAAAATGGTGGAAAACCCAATTAGCCCTTCATTCACTCCAGATCTGGCTCAGGATAAGAATGTCCCCATACGGGTCTATAGCTCCCCGGACGGTCACAGAGAGATGTGGTCTCCACCCGGTTTCACGAACGAGTCGTTCGGGATTTTCTTTTCTCTCTCTGCTGCTGGCGTGAAGGGAGGTGCATGTGCCACTATGTCCCGACCCGTCTGTGCGAGCCTGGGGCGACACCCGGGTACCCCAAGAACCTCGTGCTACGAAGGCCTGGGACCGCACCTAGGGCTGACAATTGGAGCCCAACCGCGGGCCAGATCCGGGGGGCCCCCTCCTCACCCCGCCTCCTCCCCCGAGCCGGGAGC